TTCCGCTTGTGCATCCTTGTATGCAACACACACAAGCGGAACCATACTTCTAGGGAATATTGATTTTAAGTATTTTCTGTTTGATTTTCCCCTGAAAAAAAGGCTTGTTATTTTTATGAAGTCGTAAAATTCTTGACAATTCTCTTAAAAATTAAAATATATTATTAGCTTTGAGCGAATTAGTTCTGTGGAGCAGCGATTTCTTTCGTTGTGCCATTTAGTAGTTATCAGAGAAAAAATTTGCTCAGAAAATGCTGAACCAGCAGGTACACTTAATCAGGGGCGGTTTCTCCATTGGTTTATTTGTGCAGTGAACACCCAGTTAAATTTCATAAAAACACATTATTTTAATATTACATAAATAACATAAAAATATAAATTCAATTTTAATATTTTTATTTTCATACGTGTTAATCTATATTTTTTTTGATACATCATTTTCCTCTGGCTGATCGCGTCTCTGTGGCACAGTATACCTAAGTATACTGTGTCTGAAAAGCACTATGATGAGTGAGCCTAACACGAGTGAGACGATATGCCGAAATGCATAAAGCTAAAAAGAGAAGACAACACGCCAACAGATCCTTCAAACTGTCAAAGAACACATTAATTGGCGCACCGCTCACAAGCAAGGTTGCCAAACCAGTGTTGCCAGTCTAGCACAATTCACAATTGTACTAGATGTAGTACTTTTTGCGTGCATCAGTGTTCACGTGTAAAATATATATATTGTGTTCCTTGTTTGGGTTCATTATCAATAAAGACCCCCTTTTTCCCTTTTAATGAATTAGATGTTACTGTAAATAGAATTCGAAAAATCTGATACATTTAAGGAATCTGGTACATTTTTTAGACAAATCTGGTACATAACAAAAACATATTCTGGCAACACTTTATCAAATCAAACAAACTGTCACTGCCATTAGTGTCATTCCATTACTATTACAGCAAATTAAAACGTAATATTATTTTAATTGTGCTTATTTAAAAAAATGTGTTTAATTAAGAACTGTGTCTTCAATAAATTAAAAGATGTGTGCCAATTCAACAATTATTCCCGAAAGTAAAGTAAAGTAAAGTAAAGTAAAGTAAAGTAAAGTAAAGTAAAGTAAAGTAAAGTAAAGTAAAGTAAAGTAAAGTAAAGTAAAGTAAAGTAAAGTAAAGTAAAGTAAAGTAAAGTAAATTTTATTTGACTACGTTACATATTACAATATATGTTTGTAGCAAGTCACAAAACGTACATATTAAAATAACAGCTTATTTTTAAACATAAAATACAGAACTACACAATGAAATAACTACATACATATAATTGTTAAGTAGAATAAAAATAACTCAAATTAAGTTAGGTGAGTATACATAAAAAATAAGAGAAAACAAATAGAGTAGAAGGTTTAAGAACTATGTAAGTTTACACCGATCGATATATTCCTCTACGGAATAAAAACAATGTGTCAACATAAATGTTTTTAATTTTTTCTTAAATGAATTAAACTCCAGCAGCCCAAACTCGGATGGCAATACATTATAAAGACCAAGGTCGAGGGAATTGTTTTTTGATTTATTTAGACGATATCTATTTATTCTTAAGTTGTTAGCTTGTCTGGTAGGATATTTGTGAATGTCGGACTGCCTAGAAAGACATGATAATTTCTTATGAATTTCCAAAAGGACACTAAATATATAAATCGTTGGTAGAGGCATTATTCCTTGCTGAATAAACAAGGGCTGACAATGTTCTCTAAAGGCAAGGTAAGGTAAATTAAAATGTTTACGGTTATGTTGATTAATTTAAGTATAATAAAATTTTACGACTCTAATTTGTATTATATTTTGTTTTTGTGTCTAAGACCATCCAAAGACTACTTCAAAATGGTCTATTTTGTATTCAATTGTAAATACTATGAAGAAAGAAGTAAGCAAAAAAAATTTGTATTTTTTTTTTCACAAAACCCGCTAAAAGGAAAAATTGAATTATTCTGATGAGGTCACTAGATATCATTATGGAAATAAACAATCAAAATTTGATGAATATGAAGAGACAAATGGTTAATAACGAGTTAATTTAATACACTCGATGAGAAATTTTACCTAAGAAATGGTATGTACATTTAAATAGTTTACCTATATAAAGTTATGTTTGCTTGCAATTAGCAATCGTGTTACCCTCTAACCAAGATCGTTTGTTGCATACAAACCAGACATTTTTTTATTGCCTTGTTTGTATAATTTAGTATTTTTAAAAATATTAGATGTTATGGTAATTTGAATCACTACAGGTATTAAATAAAAAATTTTGATTAGGCACTTAACAAGTCACATCCCAGATATGCTCTGGCTAATCAATCCTATAGGTACAAAACATTAATATAGTATTGTCACGATTCGTATAAATTCATATTTTTCCTAATTTTAATTAATTATTTAAATAACATCCTGTACATAAAACTTTGTTTAATTATGTCAACAATTTGTTTTAAATAGCAATAATGTGCAAGGTTGGTTATTTAATAATTATTAAACATTAGTTTTAATAACAATAAACTATGAAAAAGTCATAAAGGTAATGTCGGGGGGATGCACGAGGCTTTTTTTCACAGGGAACGGATCCTCCCCATAGGAGGTCCTTATACGAATCGTGACAGTATCTACAATTAAACAATAATTTGGAAATACAGATGAAGCCGCTTTACCTATTTAAACAAAATTACTATTATTCTATTTATTAAAACTTAAAACAAATTATTTTTTTAGTAAACTTGGACATGCAAAAGCAGCCATGAGGGTAGGACATTAGTGAGGGTAGGACATTGGTGAGTGCAAGAATACTTTGAAATGTGCTGTGAAATACACTTAGAAAGGATCATAATATGGAAAATTAAGTGTGATAACATTTTACGATATGTATGTCACTAGTTTAGTTCACAGATTTCTGTGTTCTGTGTTCAATTATGTACTGCTATTTCAAACTTTTAGTATCTTTTGATAAAAGAAGTTGAATATTATTGTTGATCTTTTTAAATTGTTTATTTTATCTCATACATTTTCTTCGTACAGTATTTTGTGAAGAGTATTAGAGGTTTACTTTGTCTGTCTGTCCGATGTCACGTTTTTTGTCTGCACTATAAGTCAAAAACGAAAAATAATATCAATTTGAAAATTTTAAGCAAAAATCAAGCTCTATAAGGGGACAAAGCCTATTGATTTTTAACAAATCTGATTAAAAATAGGGGGTTAAGATGGGTTAAAATTAAAAAAAAAATCCTAAATTATAAACGAAAAGCGATATCTACATGAAATTTTTAGTAAAAATGAAGCTTTATAAGAAGATAAAGTCTACTGATACTGAAAAAAATATGAATATATTGGAGAGTTAAGGGGTGTTAAAATATAAAAAAAAATCCTAACTGAAAAACGAAAAATAATATAAACTTGAAATTATTAGCAAACATCAATTTCTAAAAGGAGAAGAAGCCCTTTAATTATAAAAAAAAATCTGATTAAATATGGGGGATTTAAGGGGGGTTGAAATTAAAAAAAAAATCAAAAGTGAAAAGCGATATCAACATGAAATTTTTAGTAAAAATTAAACTCTATAAGGAGTTGAGGCCTATTGATTGTGAAAATAATCTGTTTGAAAATGGGGACTAAGGGGCTCTGTTAAACTGCGAAGAGTATCATTTAGAATGCCAGGCATTATATATCTTTATTCTAGTTTGTGTCTATGTAATATTATGTATTGTGATGGGACTGATCTTATAAAATAAACATTTAAAACATTTTAGTTCTTATTTTATTTGCGAATAAAAGGTATTTAAAAAATATATTGTTTATTTGACATATTTGACAAATTGTGAAAATGATTAAACTTACAATAAAAACTTAAAAACTGTAGGTAAAGTTTCATATTAAATTTTTACACAAAAATCAATGTCAAGCTTTCTACATAACCTGATATATATTTAAAAATAATCTCAAATTATGAAGAAAAGTCAGTTTACTAACTAATAATGTTTATAGATGGTTTTCAACGTATTAAAAACAAAACAAATATTACACTAACTAAAATATTTATTTATTAATAGTTGTAGTGCTTGAAAACAGTACGATGTTGATAATAATAACTACACTTAATACAAACTCAAATAATAAAAAAAAACAGCGATATTTACTCTTGTACAAAGTTTTGATCCGAACTTACAAATGATAAAATTATTGGAAAAAGTGAACACCCATTTTAAATTACCAGGAGCCGCCACTGCACTTAATAAAAATAAAATTAACGAGAAAATATTTGGACTATTTTTACAGAAGTAAAATAACCTTTTTTGATGTGCTTAAACTTAAAAAAAAATGTTTTTTATTCTTAAATTCTTGATAACAGTCTGAAATCTGCATCAACTCTACTAATAACATTAAAACCGCAAAATAACCAAAATATTATTATAATTATTTAAACCCTGGTTTTAGTCGCAAAAATTTGTTTGGTTTGTTTGGAAAGTTGGACATACATAATCAAATTTTTTTGACAGATACACACGTGTAAAATGATGAAGTGCGTTCGAAAAAACAAACTGGGATTAGGTTTAATTTCTGGGAGCGTGTGGGCCACGCCGGTGCTGTTGCGAATAAGATAATCTTGAAAAATATTAAAATATAGTTTCTAAAAAGGACTTTTTAAGGTTTAAAAAGGATTATCCTTTTCAAAAAAAGGATAGGTGGCAACCCTAAGATGTAATTTTAATACAACCATGGAATGAAATGATATTAAAAGCTAGGTTAAACAGTCAAAATAGTACATTTTCTTAAAATATAAATTAAATTATTAAAAAAAAACATAATTTTCCGTATCTAATGTCAGTTCAAATAGAAAGTAAGTTACTTCAATATACTAGTGATAATATTTCGAAATTAACAAATCTTGATAAGAAGATACTCATTTTAAAGAATTTAGAGACAAATTAAACATTGAAGGCTACTAAAATACATGCATTTATTACCTTTATAGAAACACCAACAGTTCTATCACATTTAATTATAATCAAGAATGGACATACTAAAGATAATAAGTATTATTCGAATAAAGTCGTATACGTATCGATTCGTCTGTATTCGAACATTGTAGACGTTCTTGGCGTGCATTTCATTCCATTCTATTCTTGTTTGACTGCCATGCGCTGTTACCGGTTGCCGTTAACATCACAGGGTTTATGGTTTAGAGATGGAAGGGAGATGAAAATACAGAGTTGGAAGAGACCGAGGTTATTTTGGAACAATCTTTTTAAATAATAATAGGACCAAAATTCAATTTAATATATCTCAAAATGCATTATCCATAGATACCATAATAAATAGATTATAAAATAGTAATTAAATTCGTAAAAATTTTAAAACGCTAATCCAATGGTCTTTTATATGCCCTTTTAATCTTCGTATTGTATTACCCAGGCCTGTATATGCAAATAGAAGACCATGTAAGGTAAATTAAAGACTTTTGAATCCCAAACTAGCATCTAAATTAAAAACAAATCATGTACGAAGGCAGCTTGAGTCACTTACCTTCTACACATTATTGTGTGTAACCACTAATGTGTGAGAATATATTATTCACGTTATTAAAATACAATTTATATGGTTTAGATCGTTGAGATAGAATAAAGAGGAGATGCTATTAGAATGCTTAATAGCACAGTATTATTACAAGAACGTTCCAGAAACATGCACTTGGGACATTAGAAACGTCTCTGTCATGTTTCTTATCCTCCCTCAAACGTACCTGGGATATTTCTAGCAATGACCATGTCATCATTTGTAACGTATTAAAGACGTTTCACAGAGACGTTTGTGGAACATCCTGCGATGTTGCTCAAACGTCTTAGGTAAGTTTTTTATACTATTGCTGGAACGTTCCAGAAATGACCTAAACGTTTTTTTAGTAGGATAATCAAATATATTACTTTTTCATAAATTTATTTGAAAAAAAAAAAATGTTTGACACAAAAATTAAAAATGTTAATTATTACGTTCTGATTCATTGCGTCTATTTCTTTTCGGAGCCCTTCACAACCAGTCACCTATTTTACTTTTCATTTCCTTTTCCTTTTTGTTTACCAATTTAACGTATTTGAAAATGTTTCAATTAAATGACAATATAAACAATTGATATTAAGTTAAAATAATTACCCATAATTGCTTTAGTTATTTTTAACTGGGCGTTATCTTTTTTTCCAATGAAAGAAAACAACTTACACAACTCGTTCTTTGAGGGGAGCTATGCATCTTCTAATAAATTCACACACATTATTGCTATAGTCCTTCCATTATCAATTGCAGAACACATTTATGTGGGGAATCATCAATATTTAATATATACGCACGGTGCTCATGCCAAATTTAGAAACGAAAAATAATGTTTACTCCCCTTATACAATACGCTAAATATTAAACGAACGGTCAGTCCACGTGTACTTGATATATATATGTGTCAAAATCCATCATCTCCAATGTTTACCAATGAAAACATCGAATCGTAAACTGAAATGCACTGTATTGGCCGAAGGTTTACGGAGGGCAGTAGTGTTCGAAAATATTCCTAGAAGACAGTCTGCGATATCAGTGGAGTACTGTCGTGCGGTGTGTTTTGTATGTGTGGTTAAATTTCTTTTATTAAATATAAATACTCCAATATTGTTTGATTACAAAATACAAAACATTAGTACCAACCGTCTTATTAATTTCAAAGATCTAGGGGTCAATTTTGATTCAAAATTTTCATTCAACAAACATATTGCTGATATATGCTGCTGGGGCGTCAAAAATGTTAGGCTTTATTTACCGTTCTTGCAAAAATTTCAAAAATATTGATACCATCAAACTATTGTATTACAGCTATGTTAGATCAAAACTGGAATATTGTTCGATAATTTGGAATCCTTTTTATGCAGTTCAAATCCAGCAACTCGAAAATATACAACGGAAATTTGCAAAATATCTTATGTTAAAAAATGATGGGCTTTATCCTCCCCGTGGATACAATAACTCGTAGTTATTGAGTAAATTTGATTTACCAACGCTATTAGAGAGAAGATCTTATTTAATGTTAATACTTTTGTATAAGTTGCTAAATAATAGAATTGACTGCTCGGAAATATTAAATAAAAACTTTGTTGGCACTTTAATTAAATTTAAAAATGTATGACCAAATTAGGACGTATATTAAACTTAGAGGGAAAGCCCACTCACGCAACATGTCGCGCGCGACCTGCCGCATGCGATTTTTTAAGTGCGATTTTTAACAGACGACAAGCAGCGACACAGACGTTCAGTATCAAAATAGAGGTGGAAGAAGTAGTAACGGTGTTGTTTTATTTTGTTCGTCGGCGAAAAAAATTGAAACGACGTAGGTACTGGGTTCATCCATTATTTATAGACCCTTATGTAAAAGACGCATTTAATTTATTAAATAAGGATTTACGTCAACACGAAGATAAGTTCTTCAAATATTTCAAAATGAAAGTAGTGTCATTTGACGAACTGCTAGCGCAGATTCTCAAACAAATATTTTTTTAGCTATTTTATTTCAATTAACTGTTCGATATTTGAGGTCGGTCTTGAATATTGGATATAAATTCATATATATCAATACAACTGTCGGACATTTTTTCACTGGAACTGTCGAAAAGTTAACAGAAAACTCCAACTCTCAACTGGCGTTTCGCACGCGACTTGACGTTTGTATGAGTGATGCTGGCCGCGTGGGGCAGGAAAATCTCAGGATTGTCATTTTTAATTTTCAGCCGCGTGCGACCACGTGACAAAATCGCGTTAATGGGCTTTGAGTCATTTAAAAACATCTAAAGTATTGCCGCGCGCGATGCCTTGCAATCAGTCGCGCGCGACGTGTCGCATGAGTGGGCTTTTCCTCTTACAGGATATTTATGTCTTTGTTACGTCATTTTCTGGTAATGTGACGACTAAAACTAATTATTACAAAAAAATGACGCCTCAGTTACATCAGTATGCTAGCGCTGGGAATGAGCATATTAAATTGCCGTTTTGGAACCTCGACAGTCAATATCGTTATGGTTTACAAGTAAGGCCATTTGTAGAACAAAGATGTCTGGGTTAGAATCCCGGCGACGACAGGTTTTTTTATATTTGAAATATGTTTATGTTCTCATGTATACTATTAGGAATTCCTATTTTGAAACAAATAAACAAACACAAAATGCACCAAATATGTTTACATGGACAGGCTTTTAAGATCAAGCATTATTACAAGGGCAGGCGTGAGGGGTAAAAGGACAAAATAGTTTTGCATGAGCAGGCTTAAGAGATAAAGTGTCCAAATATTTTGACTTGCGTAAGCTTAAAAGGGGTAGATGACTCGAATATTTTCACGTGCTTGTTTAGAAGATAAAGGGCCCTAATAATTTTACATGAACAGGCTTTAAGGGTATATGGATTAAATATTTTTACTTGTAGGTACAGGTGTAAGTGGTAAATAAACCATTAATTTTGATATCGGATGTTTAAGGGATGAAGCGACCAAATATTTTTACATGGGCAGGCATAAAAGGTGAGGGAACCAAAGATTTATATATGCAAGCTCAAGAGGTAAAAGGATTTATGTTTACATGAACATTATATAATAATTTGTCAAAATCAGGGCTAGAAATGTGCAAAACTCAACGTCTTTCTTTTAAAATCAAATAGTAAAAAATCGAATAAACGGCTTGGATTTATTAAGAATAAATTTACATTATTGTGTCTTTTTATGGGTAATTATTTATTTACACTTACCTATTTCATTATTTTTTGCAGCACATACTGGTACAAAATAAAAAAAAATCATAGACGTTGAAAAAATTACTAGAAATGTTTGTTAACCTTGTATAAATTTCCTATTTTAAATTACACAACGAATTATTTAATATTTTCTTTAAAAAATTATTCGAATGAATATTTTATACATCATACAGTGTAATCTCAAATAAATTGAACTATTAAGAATCGTGTTACAATGGACAATATTATAGACCAACAACAAATAAAAAAAATAGTTTGAAAAGAAAATGTATGTCTTTCAAATCGTTCTGGTAATATCTACTGTAGAGGAGGAAAATCGACAGCTGCAAAGCATTCAACTCCTGTATATTCAACATGAATTGTTAACAGATAACAAGAGTAACGTGTAGGTTTGTACGTATGTAGTAAAGCGCAACGGATACAAAATATACAAATACAGTGCTGTTGGTAGATAGAATTCTCGTACAGCTGTATTGGATTACAATGCTTAACTAATACAACGCCCGTCTCTGAATAATGTTTAGACATAATTGAAAATAGAAATATGATGAAGCTCTTTATAATGATGTCGTTTCGTTATTGTAATAATTCTAAATATATTTTCAATGTTACTGTCAATCAACTTTTCCGTCTCCTTAAAAAATAGTTCCGAAGCGTAGTAAGGACACGAGGGAGAAAAAAGCTACATAATGAATTATTGTGAATAAAAAATGTAGTACTATTGGCTTTCCAATAAATAAAACAATTTGTATAGTAACAGGAACATGTCTGTATAGAACTTTAAAACATACTACCCTTAAACATTAATTTTTTTATTAACGGGTGAAACATCTTTAGACCTTCCAAGAAAATATATCTCATTTGTCTATGCTTGCATGATATCTTGATTAAGAAGTTAAATTACTACGGTGTCCGAGGAAGTGGGCTAAAACTTTTAGAATATTATTTATCCGGTCGCTTTTAGGCTGTTACCTTTCAGAACAAAAGGTCAAATATCAATTTAATTAAGCGTATAGTTTCACAGGGCTCTGTCTTAGGACCATTATTATTTATTATACATACCAACGATTTAAAAAATTATATAGCTCCTTTTAACCCTTAACTACTACAAGTTGGGCCACACAGACCCAACAACAATTTCATTCTCCTCCCACTCTTTAAGACGTAGCCGTCTGCTGTTGTGCTCTCGTGTATTCTCCCATCATTTAGTTCTGCTTCAGACGTTAGTGCGTGCGTGACGGTTATTAATAAACTTTTCTAAATATTCTAGTGGTCGGGTCTCACAGGCCCAGTTGTAGCATGAACATCCCTTTTTTTGGGTAAGACAGTAAATAGGCAATACC